TCTCCATTTAAAGCTGTAGTGGAGTCCTTTATTTTGCAAGATTTTCTGTGGCTGTGGTTCTGGTGGCTCCTTCTGGTATTGCTGATCCATTTGTCATTTATTTCCTCATATCCTGGCTTTCATTTTTTCTCCTTTTTTAAGTTGTCCAGTTGCTTGGATATGAAATCTCCATTCCATTCACCAAAATGTATCCCTAATTTAAAAAAAATTAAAAAAAAAAAAATTGCTCTTTGCTATCATGGAAAATATGTATATCTATCTATATGCATTATAAACTTAACTGTGCACATAATACGCATTATGTAACTATGCAACACTATATTATAAATACTGTTTACACATACACACTGTATACATGAATAATATATAAATCTTATATGCTAATGATTTACTCTAGTCATATACTCGATATAAAAACTCTACACAAGCTGTATAAATTGTATGCACTCTATACTCATGTATATGTAGATTATATACTCTAAATACCTGTTATGCTTAAAGGCACTATATATTCTACATGCGCTGTATATATATATATATATATACACACACCATATATCCTGTGTATTCTATATACAATCTGCTATGTACATAGGTATACACCGAGTATACAATATATATACTGTATTACATTAATTTGTTATATACTCTATATATACTTGTTATGCTTAAATGCACTATACACTCTACATGCACTATACACATATATACGCCATATATCCTGTGTATTCTATATACAATCTGCAATGTACACAGGTATACACCTAATATACAATATATATACGACATTCAATATTTATGTTATGTATAAAATAAAGGGTGGGCCAATATTAAGAGTAGGATTTGACAGGTAAATAACTTGTTAGCAGTTGAATTTTTCACGTGTAGGTATATATTATAAATGAGTCTTGGTCAATTCATCATGGGTAATTTCATGGAGTTACAACGAGAAAAAGTAGTGGAATTTAAATCTCAAAATGGCAGATCCGTTATTTTAACGCAAAGAGCTTACCACCGTCACTTCAATGTAAGATGCCATACTTTGTCCGTCCTTTGAGCTGCTAAATACTTCCTGTGGGGATATCTGAAGTTGTTGGTGTATATTAACAAGCCGTGTACACTTGAGCAGATCAAGGAGAATATCCGTGCATAAATTCGAGTCTCTAACATTTGCTTTTGTAATGAACAATCCCATTGAAAGCGTCCAACTTTGCAAGGCGGTAATGGAACTCATTTAATAGATGTCATCTTCCGTACATAGTCAAGCAAATCTTCATACGCTGAGCATTCATTGTATGTAATATCATTGAAATTGGTTCATTCATAAAAAACAGTTATTCACCCCTCAAACCCTACTCTGAATTTTGGCATTCTTTAAACTATATATACAATAAAAATACATAAATGCACTATATACTCTACACTTACTCTGTACATAATACGTATTATGTAACTATACAATCTAAAATGTACACAGGTATACATCGAATATACAATATATATATATATATATACTACACTAAATAGTTATATACTCTGTATATACTTGTTATGATTAAATGCACTACACACTCTACATGCACTATGCTCATATATACACCATATATCCTGTGTATTCTATATACAATCTGCAGTGTACACAGGTATACACCAAATATACAATATATATACTACATTCAATAGTTACATACACTGTATATACTTGTTATACTTAAATGCACTATACACTCTAGAAACAATACATACACTATATACATATATACACCATATATCCTGTTTATTCTATATACAATATGAAATCTATAGAGGTATACACCTAATATACAATATATATACTACATTCAATAGTTATATACGCTATATATTCTTGTTATGCTTAAATGAACTATACACTCTACAGGCACTATACTCGTATATACACCATATATCCTGTGTATTCTATATACAATCTGCAATCTGCAGTGTACACAGGTATACACCAAATATACAATATATATACTACATTCAATCGTTACATACACTGTATATACTTGTTATGCTTAAATGCACTATACACTCTGCAAACACTAAATACACTATATACATATATACACCATATATCCTGTTTATTCTATATACAATATGAAATCTATAGAGGTATACACCTAATATACAATATATATACTACATTCAATAGTTACATACGCTATATATACTTGCTATGCTTAAATGCACTATACACTCTACATACACTATATACATCTATACATATATACACCATATATCCTGTGTATTCTATATACAATCTGCAATGTATAGAGGTATACACCGAATATACAATATATATATTCTACATTCAATAGTTATGTTATGTATAAAATAAAGGGTGGGCCAATATTAAGAGTAGGATTTGACAGGTAAATAACTTGTTAGCAGTTGAATTTTTCACTTGCAGGTACATATTATAAATGAGTCTTGGTCAATTCATCATGGGTAATTTCATGGAGTTACAACGAGAAAAAGTAGTGGAATTTAAATCTCAAAATGGCAGGTCCATTTTTATAACGCAAAGACCTTACCACCGTCACTTCAATGTAAGCTGCCATACTTTGTCCATCCTTTGAGCTGCTAAATACTTCCTGTGGGGATATCTGAAGTTGTTGGTGTATATTAACAAGCCGTGTACACTTGAGCAGATCAAGGAGAATATCCGTGCATAAATTCGAGTCTCTAACATTTGCTTTTGTAATGAACAATCCAATTGAAAGCGTCCAACTTTGCAAGGCGGTAATGGAACTCATTTAATAGATGTCATCTTCCGTACATAGTCAAGCAAATCTTCATACGCTGAGCATTCATTGTATGTAATATCATTGAAATTGGTTCATTCATAAAAAACAGTTATTCACCCCTCAAACCCTACTCTGAATTTTGGCAGACTTTAAACTATATATACAATAAAAATACATAAATGCACTATATACTCTACACTTACTCTGTACATTATACCTATTATGTAACTATACAATCTAAAATGTACACAGGTATACATCGAATATACAATATATATATATATATATACTACACTAAATAGTTATATACTCTGTATATACTTGTTATGATTAAATGCACTACACACTCTACATGCACTATGCTCATATATACACCATATATCCTGTGTATTCTATATACAATC